AAATATTCAGTCATATTTTGTATTATGCATTCATCGTTTTTCTCTTTTTTGCTGCTCTGCTGTTTTAAGTTTGATTTAGTTAATAATAATAATAAGGGTTTTTATAACTTTAATAATATGTAAAACAAGTAAAACGTTAATGCATGGTTTGTCTTTTTAATCTAACATGATTCATATTTAAGAACGCAAAAGGTCAAAAAGGTCTGTCTCACACAATCTTAAATGGTGCGGATTTTTGTCAAAGTTCAGGGTTTTCATAGCTGTTCGTTCGGGTTGGAAAATTGGAAAATTTACAACATAACATACTTTTTAAAGATTTTTAGTCAACAACAACATTGATAGCAACATCCATGACCGTATTACTTTTGTCATTCCTTATCATCCTCAGCCTTTCCGAAAACCGTAGACTCACCGAGATGCTCTCGTCTCTCGTCAGTACATATTTTCACGGATATTTTCTCCCGCGCGCGTTTAAGCTAAGGAAAAAGTTGCCTATTCTAAATTTTCGCAAAGGATACAAATACAGCCTAAGTTTCTTTAAAAGCGCCTCTTTTGAAGAAACGAAGGATATTTACATGGACGGCAGCGTGTGTTAGGCATATTTTGTTTCCTGACAGGCGGGAGAACAGTGTGAAATCGTCATCAATACCCTACGGCCGGCTGCAGGGTTATTTATTTATCTTATTTATTTATTATGTCAGACTCTTACAGACTAAAACACACCCGTAGCCACGCCTATGGCCATAAGGCCTTACAGGCTTCATTCATCTGATGCGATCATGCTCCGAGAAGGGAACTGCAAAGTCCGCTAGAGGTTAACAGAGTATCGAATTGAGACCGACCGAATAAAGGACTCTTAAGGTAAGGTTTCGAAGCGAGCGTCAGTGACGCCGCGACACGACAGAGCGTCAGATAGAATTTCTATGCAAATGACATTGTCAGTGCCGCTTTGGCCGACGCTGACATTGACATTTGCATAAAAATTCTATCTGACGCTCGCTACGAAAGCCCACCTTTATGGTCAGGGGAATGTGACACACCTGGTGTTGCAGGCGTCCATAGGCCACGGTGAACGCTTACCATCAGGCGGACCGTGTGTTTGTTTGTAGCGTTGCAACGGTCTGTCGAAAAATCGATAATATCGACACCAAAAATATCGATATTTAGATCGATAATGTTAAATTTTTGGATATCGATAATAATAATAGAGCAAACAAAACATTTTGTAGTCTCCTTTCTATACGATGTGCAAAGTAGTTTTGGATACGTAATAATAAGAGAGTAATGTAACAATGCAGTTTGTTTTCATGGCGACGTAAGAAATAAATGTAAGGAAAATAAGGAAGCCTTGAAATATTACCACAAGTTATGAGTATCGCGTAACACAGCCGGTTGGTAGTTTGGTACCAACACTAATAATCACATTGCATGCTCGTAATAGAATACTCATTATTGCTAGGATCAGGCGTTCGCTCCAATGACTCGTTAGATAATAGTGGGTACCCCCTGCCATATATTGTTTATAGTTAAACACTGTTTCTACTGATTTTGAGGTGTAACGACAAAGGAAACGAGTTTAAATGGCCCTAATGCTGTCAATCTATCTTTGAGTCTGTTTTAAACGTATGTCATGGGTACAACAGACGTGATATTTTACCGTTTTAGCTCGATATTTTTTTTATGGATAGGTCCGACAAATGATTCCACCCCACCTGATGTTAAGTGACAGTGAAGTCTAGACGCGAAGATAGCTGATACAGCAGTTTTATACGATAGTATAATATAGTTCCTAATGTTATATGATACTTTTCATGCGCGGGTCCGACTCGTATTAAGCCTTCTTTTTAATTTAAAAGGTAATGGTCCCGACGTTCTCCATACCATATTCATGATGTCCGATTCTGATGTTGGAATCCTGGAAAAATCTAGGTAACTCTTTAAAATAACACGAAAATCTTATGTTATTTAGTTTATTTATTTTTATAGGAACTCATCCATTTACTCTTGATAAGTTCTTAATTTAGTGGCTAAGCAATTTACGTTTGTCACAATGCATTATAGTAAAGTGGGGCTGATAGTGAAGTACCAGGAAATTATACAACAATGAAAGTCCCTGGCTGAATACTTAAAAGCAATTTATTTTTGTGAAAAATGAATAGCATAATTATATAGGCAAATAAATAAAATTAGGAGGAGGTCGATGGCGCACGTGGTTGGAGCGTTCGGCTGCGATCGTTGAAATAAAGCAACTTTCGCAGTGGTTGTTCATTGGATGGGTGACCACAAATCTTCTATGTCGAGGTCCTCCGTGCTTCGGAAGGCACGTTAAGCTGTTGGTCCCGGCTGCATCTTCAGTCGTTAACACCCGCCAATCCGCACCGGGCCCTCGTGGCCGAATCTCCCTATGTCATCCATGATGATGATGATGTATTGTAATTGGCTGGCCAATCTGGCTGGCCTAGCTGGTAGGCACTGGCGCGAGTAATATTTTTAGTCGCGCAAGCGTCTGCTAGATAATAGTCTAGTCCGGGCTACCGCGTACGCTTACAATAAGATAGGCCTTATTTGTTGGCCAACCCCATAATGTGAAAAAAAAACCTTGTACATTCCACTTTGACACTGACAAGATTTCTTAATTTTTAATGAATGTACTAAGCCTTCACTTCTCTTAAAATTAGTTGTTTTTTTTTAATTTATTCTGGCCTAAAATTAGTTGAGAGACAAGGTATTGCCACTGTATTGCTTGGTCCAAGTAAATCCTTGTTTGGGAGCAAAAGAAAACTGTAACTAAATTATTCACCATTCATACTTAAGTCAAACATAAATGTTAATTAACGTTTCTGGGTGCGGTCGTTAGTTTTTTTGACAGTTCAGTAACTCATTTTACTTTATCAATCTTGTGCTCCAGGACTACGCAAGAAAGCAGTACATGATAGTTTAACATTTTTTAACTTGCTTGATAAAAAGGGTTATTTACATTCACCAACTGGACGTAGTTAATTTACAATGAATAGAATTAGGTTTCCATTTTGCGAACGTGCTCTAGATGAATGATTATAATTACAATCAATATCGTGTATTTACTACTGTTACCTAACCAAACCTACTTTTTTTGCAATAAGCAAGTATTATAATTTAGGAGATTGGTTCTAAAACTTGTATGTTACGATTGAAATCGATTTAATAATAATGATAAATATTTTACACAATTTTTATTACGAAATACACTAATGTAATTATAATTCATAGTTTAAAGCGTAGGTACCTGATTGCCTTGTTTCTTAGTACAAATTTAAAAAAGCTACGTAATGAGAGGCAGCCATCTAGTAACTAAAAGCTGAACTAAATTAATAATAATACATAGTTGCAACTAGTTGATAAAAGCATTATTAGTGCTTGCTTTACCATCTACAAAAGTTTATTCGCTCCACACTAGATGGCGCTTGGTGAGTACAAATAAAAAAACTACGTTATGAGAGGCAGCCATCTGGTTTCTAAAAGCTGAACTAAATATGTACATACTACCTATTTGCAAAGAATTGATGAAAGCATTATTACTTCTTGCTTTACCATCTACAAAACTTTATCCACTACACACTAGATGGCGCTTGGTGACTCTTGATGATGAAGATTCTATAAATAGAATGTGCCTGCGCATTACATTCTGTGTCCGTCTGTCAGTATCAAATATCAACGAAATTTATATAGGGTTCCCTTAGTAACAAGGAAACTTTTTACTATAATTCGTTCATTTGGCTGTCCGCAGCTTAGCTCAGAGATTCTTCCTACTAGTAAATTGTAATTGTTTGAGTGCAAAAATAAAATCTTGAGGATTTTTTATTTTTCTACTTTATAATTAAATAATTGACTTAATTTATATACATTTTTAAATTTTCTACTTGTTATCTGTTATTGCTTGGACAAGACACACAATACACCGTTATTTTTACCGTAGTCATGGAATTGGTCCATGCCATAATTACACTTGTACTGACTATTTTCCTGTTTGCCTAGTTTTACTATCCCTATGAGTACTGCCTAAAAAGCTGACTGGTTCCTCCTTAGAGCTTCTTAGCTTAGCTTGGTATGAAACTTAAATGATTTCAAAATGTAAACCTTTATGATTTGAAACAATGCTTAATTTTCATGTTTGCAATCTAATTTTGAAAATTGTTGTTTCAATAATAGATTCTTTTGAGATAGGTTTTCCATAGGCTTATTAAGTATTATATTTTGTTATTATGGATAAGACTTATCAGATTTTTTCAAGGTTGGACCGGGAGTGAAACTTTAGTATGATTTGCCCCAGCTTAAACATTTTATTTCCCAGGCATGATGTGGCTATGGAAATGGGATTTATTTAATGTTTCATATCGTCATACAAAAAGGAACTTTGAAAAGTGAAGTGAATCAAATGAAGTAAAATCCGTGCACTATTTTCATTATTGTATATGTGTTGTGGTCAATAAGATCCCAATTTCTGGAGAAGTATGTGTATAATAAAACAAATATAAATGAGCTGTTTAATTTAATATAGATGTCGACATTAATTTAAATTTTATTACATCATACAATAAAAACTAAGACTCATCTTAGAATACTAAATCTCATAATCAGAATAAAATCATGTTCACAATATATACAATGTTCTCTTCGCTAATAAAGAATATAACAAATAGTTGCCGTAAAATGAAAGGTACGTTTAAGATGCTTCAAAATATTTATCACCCAAAGCATCTAATTTATTACAAAAATATGATAATTTATTATTCGTAGATACACCTAAATAGGTTCATTTTTTTAAAACACATCGAGTCTATTCATAAAACACAACGAGTACGTAGACACTATCACTGACTCTATATCACTTCATCTAATAAGTTTTTCCTCTGTCTCACATTCAGCAAATTCATCTCCTTGAGAATTTTCCACTAGTTTGGAATAAACCAAGGTCAAGTATCAATCTTCCGATTAAGTATTATAATGAAGACGAAACACTGTCATAATACTAGCCAATCCTCCTTAATCATATCGGATGCCTTCTCTGCTATCATAATAACAGGAGCATTGGGATTTCCGCTAATGATTGTTGGCATAATACTCGCATCTACCACTCTTAAATTAGCCACACCGTGGACGCGAAGTCTTGGGTCTACGACAGCTTCTGGGTCATGCTTCGGCCCCATCTTACACGTACCGGTGGGATGGTAAATCGTGAAAGTGAATTGTTTCATGCAGCATTCCCAGTATTCGTCGCTGAAAAGTGGGAGATGCTGGCAACCAGGCAAAGGTATGTTGTGCGGCTTCGATCCGTATCTCTGGAATGCCGTAGTGTTGGAGATGGCCATCGCGATTTTTATACCCTCAGTGAGCACTTTTATGTCTTCTTTGTATGCGAAGTAGTTAGGTTCTATGAGAGGTGGGTGGAATGGATTCCTGCTTTTCAGCTTCACCCAACCCGAACTTTTCGGGCGTAACAGAAGTGGTAGGATGGACCACGTCTCTGCATTTTCTATTGGCTTGTACACCGTATTGTAGAAACGGTCACGTAAATTAAGTATCTTTCGTATATGTTCTCCTCCGTCAGAGTTGATAGAACTGGGAGCGAAATGAAACTGTATGTCGGGCCAGTTGCCGGATGGAGGGGCATACTTCGTGTTAACAAAGGCGAGACCCTCGATCCCCTGTGTAGTCATCGGGCCTTTCTCGTATAGAATGTAGTTCATTGCAACCGAGAATGTTTGGAACCGGTCCTTTTTGAATGTGATAGGCTTGTTTACCAGAAAAGTGAGGCCGCCCAATCCGACGTGGTCCTGCAAGTTACGACCCATTCCTTTTAGGTCGGCTACTACGGGAATGCCATGCTCTCTTAAATGGTCCGCTGGGCCAATGCCACTCAACATCATCAGTTTCGGAGTGGATAAAGATCCCGCTGACATTATGACTTCCCTCTTTATCCGCACCTTCTGTCGTTGACCTTTGTGTATAAACTCCACACCGTACGCTTGTTTTTTGACTTGATTAATTAATATCCTTGTTACATGAGCGCCCAAAGCAATGTGAAGATTGCTTCTTTGACGGACGGGGCGTAGGAAGGCCTTGGCCGTGCTGCAACGGCTCCCGCGCCGGATCGTCGCCTGGGTCAGCATAAAACCGGTCTGTTTCGCTCCATTTATGTCACGATTTTCATAACCCAGTTCCATTCCGGCTTTGAGGAACGCTACCGATAGCGGTGTTCGCCAAGGTGCCTCTTGTACAGTTAGGTATCCACCGGCGGAGTGGTATGGCGTGTTTACTAAGTATGGATTTCTGTTGTCTTCGGATTTCAAGAAGTAGGGCAGGACTTGATCGTACGCCCAGCCGGGATTGCCCAAGGCCTCCCATAGGTCGTAGTCGTTGCGGTTGCCTCTTACGTAGACCATGGCGTTGAGAACACTGCAGCCGCCGAGTACCTTGCCTCTGGGCCAGTTGCAACGGTCGGTGTTCATGGCGAGGCAGTATGAGCGGTTGTGGGAAGGTGTGGTTTGATAATGCCAATCCATTTCGGAGAGTTGCGTGTAGCCGGCCAGCGCGGGGATATCCGATATCTCATTCTCGTCGTAGCCGGCTTCTAACAGCAGTACTGACCAGTTACCGACCTCTGAGAGCCGGGAGGCGACGACCGCGCCGGCCGACCCGCCACCGACTACTACAAAGTCATAAATTGGCAATATCTGAAAATAAAGAAGAGGAACATTGAGGAATACAATATAAAGCATTTAAAAAAAGTGCAAGAAAACAAATACCATAAGAAAGAATTACTAGAAAAAATTCCACTCAGTCCAGGTTTCAGATGGGACTATCAGCTCGAATAGTGGAAGATGCGGGTTTGAGTCCCGTTTTTCTAGTAAAATTTTCTTTACATTTAGGCACACTTGCAGCAAATTTGCTAAATCACGATTTAATTAATACTAGACATATCCGATAGAAAAATGTCAAATTGACATGATTGTATGGCCGATAAATAGTTTAGTTAAATTGAGATTTTTCGAAATTGCTGCAAGTGAACCGTAAACATCTAGCAGTGCTTGTAAAATAAAAAATAATATATATTGAAACTATACTCTTTTGACTAAAGGGTTCATTGCCCTCGGTTGCGGGTTCGAAAACCGCAAAACTTGTTTACGTCAATTTAAATTAATTAAGACTGATGTAAATTTTATATGTTTTACTGTTACTATTATATTTCGTAAGAAATGATAACAGTTAAAAGTGAGTTTGTTGTCGTCAGGCGGCGGGCATGCATCATGCATTTTCCCTTCGGTATAAAAAAAGGATAGACTTCTCCTGTGTGTTACCTTTCGTAAGTAACCTTAGTGCTTATACCACAGTACCAGATGGTTAATTAATGGATATATATTTGTTAGTTAGCTTAGTTATGTCTAGCATGCAATATAATTATTTTTGTACTATCGATCCGGAACGTCTTTGCACGGACAAAATTTATTAAAAAAAATATCCATGTTACTTAGGAATAACGTAGCTTTCTAATGGTGAAAGAATTTTTGAAATCGGATCAATATTTTTTGAGTTTGTTACAAATATAAAAAAAAAGTTTTTTTGTGTATAATATTACAAAGTAGATATTCAATAAAATGCTAATTTTTGAACATGAACTTACAGTGTTGACATCCGATATGTAAGACTCCGGATCGTATTGCTGATATCTGAAATACGTAATTCCTAGTGCTAGGAGTGGTATCAGACCGAGCACTGTGATTGGTGACGGTGCTAAGCTCGCCAGTGCTCCTGCCGCCTCCATCGTTGCGCCTCACACACATCCGCTAAACTAATATTTACAACCTATCCTACTAGTCTTTGCTCTCTTATATCCAGCTATCGACCTTCTTCTTCTGCTCCTCCTCAGACAAAATCTTCGGAGTGTAATTCCTTATCCCTGCCTTCTTTTGCGTCTGCGATGTGTATTTGGCCTTCTCGGCTTCGGCTAGGTAACTTTTTAAACGTGCACTTTTAAGTTCATCCTTTTCGATAGAGAGCAGTTGCAAATGCTTTTTCTCTTTTATTTTCACAGGTCTGTAAATTTCTTTGTTGACGTCTTTGTAGTGATCGTTTTTGTATAAAGATGTGCAGTAGTAATCGTTTTTAGACGATCTGTTGGAGTGGCTCTCGTAAGTGCTAGAGCCGCTTCGGTAGCCACTGCTTTCTGTGGAGGAGTTGTCGCTTTTGAAGCTCTCGGCGCTGCGCCTGGGCTTGTGTCGTTTGTAGTCGTTGTCGTAGTCGCCAGGATGATAGAGAGGTCCACTGGTGTACTGGGCGGGCCCGTACCTGTCCTTGTAGCGGGATGCGTGCGAAACACTAGTGTGTCCCGGATATGACTGTTCTTGACCCATGATGTGAGGCGCGGCACCGTTCTCTTGTGTATTTTCTGAAAAAATAAAACAAATACGTTTAGCTGCATTCAGACCAATGTTTGTCTTAAGCTCATCTAATAAGGAAACGTACTACAAATAGCACACGCTTTACAACTTAACTTCAAGCTTTATTATAAAGTTGCATTTTGTTAGAAAAAGTATAGTATTTTTTTTTCTTTAAGTGTCTCACAGACAGAAGCGGCCAGCTGCCGCGGCCAACACTTATTGGTCAGTTGTGTTTGAACACCCGCTTATGTTACATTGCCAGCCACCCCGGCCGCGGCCGTAAGCCGCCTCTGTCTGTGAGACTCTTAAATGGGCAAGGTTATAAGGTTTGTATTCCTTGCTTTCCCAGTCAGAGAATTTATTCAATAGTAACTATTTTCTTATTTCTATAAAGAAAAAGTATAACTATGCAGTTGTTTATTAAGATTGACAATTTTGATTTGACTTCTCAATTCATGATGTTACAGGTAGTAGTGACATGATAAATTATCAACATAATAGATATTTTTGAAGTATTCAATGCAAGACAGATATCTTGTTAAAATTATAATATTTTTGTATAACACTAACACAAAATTTATGTTATCAAAATTTTATAAAAATATGTCACAACTCTTATTCAGATCCACCAATATATGGTAACCCTTAGAGCATACATGAGGTAGAAGTATAAATGCTCTAAGATGGTAACCTGCCATTGTTCTTTAGACGAATGTTTGGAAACCACTTAAAGATTATTTAATTTTACATCCTTTTTTCTAAATTTGTGATTTATTAAAATAATGTCAAATTAAATTAGCATTATAATCAAATACAAACAATCTTTGATTATAGTATATAGCTACTTTATTATAGTTAAGTACATTAAAAATTAAGCCTGCTTCTATTTTGTATAATTTAATACCTTTTACATGTTATAAAGCAAACTTACATATATTTTCATCATTATGTACAATTGACTTAAAGATCTGTACCAAACATTTGCTGGCAAAAACACACACCTCTTTTAAAGAGCTCCCACATATTATTATGTGAACCTGGCAATACACACAATAGTTTGTAATGCCAGAAATATAACTTTCTTCTCCCAAAAGTCAATCAGACTAGCCATAATATTAAGATACTTTTGCGCATCAAAGATTTCTTTATACGAGTATTACTTGCTAAAATGGCAAAAATATCCTTGAAGGCAATGTTGGCGTGTTTCACGGTAATCAACTTTTAACTAGATTTGGTCGTGTTTTTTAGCATTATACTTGACGTTTCAGGCCCTTTCCAGATTCCATTTTCACAAGACGATAGATAAATAATATTTTTAACTTCTTAGCCGCCTTCTACAATATATTTTTACTCGAATAATAAAACGAATAATGTCAAGAACCTCCGTAACTCATTTAAAGTAGTTTTATCATATTATTATAATTTAATAAAATCCTTATGTTTTATTTTCAGGTATGCACGTTTTCTGAGCATACAAGACAAGACGTCACTCTGTTGGTGTGTATAAAATATTTTTCCCTACACTCATGTCGAAATATTCGAATTAAAAATCTAAAGCTGGTTTTATAAAGACGTACTTTATGAATGCACAAATGCACATACATAAAATTAAAACTCATTACCGTGCTGCTAGCTGTATCTTAAAATATTTTTTTAATAATTATGGTACACTTTTTTAATTTATTAAATTACTATGAAATACCATTCAGGGGTGGCCAACCAGTCGATCGTGGCAAGGCAAAAAATATAAATAAGTAGAACAGACTGCGCATCGTAATCACCAACTGCTGTACGCATCTTCTTTTTCCTCTCCTCCAAAGTGATATCTATGAATTGGCTACAAAATTTGCTTACGATACATTTCAAATGGACCACTTCTAATAATGACTCTGCGCAATTATATAAATAAGCAGTTGCTAAGGAACTCGTTCACTTTTATGTTTGCCCTCTTAATAAAATAACAAAATACTACAAATTGTGTACTGAACTGTTCTCTCATTTAAGATTTCAAGAGGTATGTAATTGGTAGATCGCACATGGTTTCGACAGTAAACTGTAAATATTGAGTCTAATCAAGTTGGCCACCCCTGGGCTATGGTATTAGGCCCGCTGAATGTAAAAAAGAGGCACACGCATTTGTAGTTTGAACTTAATTTCCAGCACTACCCATCAAATTTTCTGTCGATCGATGAGCGAGCCTTACAGTAGTCGTATGATGTGTAACATTTGAATCCTCACCTTATATTAGTAAAAAAAGAAATACTACAAAAGGAATAAGCCATTTCAACATTATGTTCTAAAATCAAATCAAATAGCGCGCGCTTTCGCGACTTCCTATTACACACTTCCATCCCATTTCACGAAATCACTCCCACAAATTGCAGGAAAGCGAGAGGAAAGATGTTACACACCAAAAAAGAACAAAACGTGTCATGAAAAGATGGATTTATTAGTTTATTTTTTATTTTTGGCTAGGTACTTTAGTGATGATAAAAACGAGCGAGCCTTACAGTAGTCGCGTATGATGTGTAACATTTGAAACCTCACCTTATATTAGTAAAAAAATAAATAAAACCTACTACAAAAGGAAGAAGCTATTTGAACATTATGTTCTCAAATCAAATAGTGCGCGCTTTCACGACTTCCTGTTACACACTTGCGTCCCATTTCACAAAATCACTCCCACAAATTGCAGGAAAGTGAGAGGAAATTACACATCAAAAATCTCGTCCGTTGATTTATTTATTAAACTTTATTACCGCACATGCCAGTGCTGCCTACTAGTCTTAGCGAAAACGCGCTGTCAGTGCTATAAAAAACCGCTAGAATGAGCTAAAATGGCTTTTTAGAAAAAAGCACTATATTTCGCACCAAATGGTTTTACTATTTTGTTCGTTACAATGAGTACCTATTTAGATAAAATAAATTTTATAACATTGTAGATTGTAAATAAACAGTAAAAACCGTTTGATACGATTTCACAGGGTCTCAACCATAAAAGCGTCTTAAGCGGGAAAGCGTATTTTGCTGGATGGGGAAATTTTAATGTGGGTATTAAGGTATTAAATGTACAATTGTGTACAATATATAATAATTATGTATGTTATAAAAATGTAGTGTATTATAATTTATTATTACGTTATTTAAATTAATCATTTATTTTAGTTTGTCAAAAAGATTTTGAGGCGTAGCAATTAAAAGATTTTCAACATAATTTAACTTTCGTAGTGTGTCTTCGCCTTGGTTCAAAGAAGTTACATAGCGTCTTAAATCATTAACTGCTGATAATGCCTGGGCGTGTGACAAAATTGGACACTTTTTTTGTTTGTCTATAGTGTCGATTCTGGCATGAATCTCTAAAGTTAAAACTAAATTTTCCATTCTGTATAGAGAATGACAAGGATACACTGTTATCAAATTTAAGTTTAGGTTTAGAGGATCATACCAGAGTCGACACTAATGTTGGTAAGTAGGTAGTAATAATTACATTAAGTATTGGTAATTACTATTATTTACGCTGTATTAAGTAATACAGTTTCATTCATAGAATATAATTCAGAAAAGCTAGATTTGGCGCTAGGCGCTAAATCGCGCTTGGACACAAGAAAAGCGCTAAGTTGGCAGCACTGGCACATTATTTTCGCACAGCGCAATCTAATTAATTTCATAAGGGGCCAAAAACAGCGTCAGCTTATTCACTAACAGGTCTGCGATAGTTGACCTGAGAGCGAGTGGAGTGGAATCACAGAGATTCATATCCGAGATCATCACTCGCTGTTCAGTCGAGTCAGTTAAGACCCTCCTGATGGCAACTTTAAAAAAGATTCTCGCTGTTTATGTACAAACAGAGACAACGTTACACTAACGCGATTCAGGGGGGTACAGCGCCATCTAGCTTTGAGTAGCACAAGCCGCGTTCGGACAACGACCTTGTCCTTGATACCGTGAGTGATACCGTTACAATATGGTTACAATACATTAAAGATAACTACTAGAAATACCTACATCAACATAATGATTTATCATTGGAGTAACTTGCTATAATAGCAAAGCAATTTCTGTAGTTTTTAAGGTAAATAATGCCAACCCAATTTATTTCACGCATATACGGCTGGTTGGTAGAAAATCGAATTTCAATTATATTTATCAATTAATTCATACTAAATATTTACATATATTATACAACTAAAGTGAGAAACTATTGTTGACAGACGTTTGACTGCCGAATGTTAAAACCTAGCTTGAGGTCCCGTTTGACTCTAACAAACAGCTTTTTGTTGTCAGGCAGGTACACGTACAAAAAGTACGAATGGGCAATGAAATCTCTTCGTTCACAATCGACTTTCACTCGTTGCAATACAAAGTTACTGCCTTAATTGAATATCATTGCATCTAAACGGAGTTTTCACTGATTCGCTTGTACAGATTGCGTTTTGACCTAGCCGTGCAACTGCGGTTTGTATGTAATACGCAATGTATTTTATCTATTTACGTACCATACATCACATGGTTTTCACTTTCTGAGGGAAGGTCGAGGAGAGTGATAATTGTTCTGTCAACATGACTGATAAACTAAGCACGGTCATCTAAACAGCCGCAACATGTTTTTGTATCTCTTAAAAAAAAGTTTTAAGTATTACTTACTTTTTTGTGTTTTTGTTTTTATCAAGTCGGGTTTTTATTTGTGATAAAAAATCTGATTTAAGAAAGTTAAAATATAAAAAATGCAAGAAGTTTTGAATATAATGTACTTTAGAAAGGAGCCAGCGGAGTTGTTGTTTTATCACATTTTATTACATATTAATGTTAGTAATTCCGTTAAATAATGGATTTATTAATGCTTCATAATTCTGGTTTAAATATATTTATATTTTTTTAAATGAATTGAGTGCTGTTAACTGTATCTATCTATCTGTCTAAGTAACTATCTGATATGAATTTATTTTTAAAATTTAATTCAGACTCTATGGACTGTTCTTAAATTCAGAGACGTAATAGAAAACCTACAAAAAGTATCTAAAATACAAGATACTAGGTACCTAGTCGAGTATTTAGCTAGCAGATCAGATACAAGATGACCTTTGAAAAAAGTATTTGAGATACAAGATACGTATTTTCTAAATACTTTTTTGAGATAAAGATACTATTTGGAAAAAAGTATATTATTATTACTTTTAAGTTTTATTTTAGTTATTAAATTGTATTACAATGCAATATTATGATACTGGAAAAAGTATTTAAATGCAAGATAAATTTCAAAAAAGTATTTGAAATACAAGATGAAGATACGTATTTTGTATCTTGTATCTGTATTTTAGATACTTTTGTCTTAGATAAGTCACATCTATGCTTAAATTATGCACCCACTTGTCAGTCATGTTGATAGTTGACTATTTTTATGCTCTGTTGTAACTGTTGCGTGCTAGGAGCACCTTGATTATATACCTTTTACATTAGTCTAGTAAATAATTTGAGTCAAGGACTAAACAAAACTACAGTTTACCGTCACCACAGGAATTCACAATACTTCTACAACACTAGAGCATTTTATTCTAAAGTTCAGACAGTGAGGACAAAACTCAAGTTATGTCATTAAATAGTAAGAAACCGACATTAAATAGTCAAAAAAATAATAATAAGTATATATATATATATATATATATATATATATATATATATATATATATATATATATATATATATATATATATATATATATATATCCTACCCAATAAGCTCTAGGCAATGATGCGTCACATGCTGGGGTAAAAATGAAATAAAAAATCACCCCACATGAAATTTTTTTAATTGAATTTTTAACTAAATATTCGGTTTTGGGCAAGCATTCTCCATAAAAGTTCAGTTTTGTAACTCATTCCGTTGACGATTTAGTGACTATTGACATACGGACAGACAGACAGACGACAAAATGACAGCAATAGGGTTCTATGTTTACCCTTTGGGTACGGATTACGGAATTCTAAAATAGCTAAGAGCATCCAGAAGTTTAGTCAAAAACATATGACAAAAAAATCAAGTCGAAACATGAAGGGAATCTGAAGTTACAGGATTTTTTATGTAGTTTTCCATACTAATTTTCATTTTATCGATCGCGAAAACTAACTTTAAGAGGTGTAAATAAGCAAATGAACTATAAAAAATTACATAGCGCTATGTAATTTTATTCTGTTCCAAATATTTCAATAATTATATAGAATTAACAAGCTAATCACTTAAACTACTTTTTTTTATTAGAAATGCCAATTAAGCCTGAACTCTATGAATGGAATGTAAGCGATTGATCTACCATAATCTTAGAAATTGAAATAAATATTATTTGAAATCACATAGTATATAGTTAGAAATCCTGTCTGATAAAATTGTTAAGTTATTTATTACTCAACTATTAGTTATTACAAGAATCGTTTACAATCACACCAACCACTAAATTTTCGTGATGACAATTATAGTGATACATGACCAGAAAAAAATACATTGTCACATTATTATCTATCAAACAACCATGGGAACTTTTAAGAATGTCAGGGTGTAAAGCTTTTTATTCATATGTACCACAAAGAAAACATCAAACAATTGTTTCGAAGACAAATGAATAATTTCGTTCCTTACCTTGATTGGGCAAATTGTTTGCACAAATAAAATAATTAACATGTTTCTCAAGTGCAAGTGACAACAATGTTGCAGCATCCGATTGAAATAGAGTGAAAAAAAGGTTTTCAAAACAATTTTTTGGATTTTATTGTGATCGACGAATTGTTATAAGATGTTTTGGAGAGGTTTCGTTTGACCCACATCATTGCAGTTTAGAAGTGGCCAACAACCTCGAGCTTCTAACATTTAATCGAGTTGTTGCATCATGAAGCGCGTTGTACGTAACTACTGCCCCACACTAAGAGTTCAAAATAAAAGTGTTTAGAGCTTTTTTGCGAAAATAAAATTTTTAGCTCAGCCGTAGCATCATTTCCGTAGTTCCATTGGACGTCCCATTGATGGGATCGTCTACTGACCGACCGAAAAGAACCTTTAGCCTCATTTGACCAAGATTAGAAACCACCGAAATTTTGTTTTACTCCACTATATCTACGAAACCAGTAATACTAGATGTAACAAAATATGATCCAAATTAAATTCTACTTAAAAATACATACATACATTTATAAAATCATTATTCTGGAAAAAGTACCAGGAGACCATACATGGCTAAGAGGTTCTGGTTATGAAAATGACAAAAAGTCTGGTTTAATACCTAGTTATGTTTAATTGTGTTGCATATCGATACAAACGACAACCATACTTCTCTGTAGGAGAAAAACCAAAAAGAAATAGTTAAATATTATTCGTAGTTCACCCAGGTGTGTAGGGTATGCGACAATCATCATATCAAGTGAACCAAGGGTTAGAACAAGTTCCCGGAGTCCACCCAGGTGAACTTGTTAGGTAATAAACGGTTTTTTCTGACCGACGAAGGTTTTCAAATGCCTCGAGCTCTTTTTTTTCTTTGATGAGCGTGTGGTATTTGAAAACCTTCGGCAGTCAGAAATAACAATATTATATCGTAAGCGATAGCGTCTGAAACCTGAACAGAGTGGACTTTTTCTAGTAAAATTTTCTTGAGTGGTACCCCTATTTAAATTACGTTTATTTATGTATCGTAATGTTCGGCTAATAATAGCCCACAAACACATATAGTTACCTTGCTTCTTTAATTTTATTTCCAACTATTTTTTTTCTGAATTCGTTTCATCGAATTTTATATGAAACGTTGTATGGTTTTATGTTAAAAGCATAAAAACACACCAAAGAAAATAATAAGGAATCTTGTTACTTATAAAAAAAAAGCATTTTTTATGTTTCGACAAGTTTATCATCTTCTCAAACAGTTTAAAATTGGCAAATATTGGATTTTGAGTAAGATGAAAATTCATTCATCGGTTTGCAAATATTGGCACGACACCTTTTTTAGTTTGGACGCATCGCAACAATGTGCGCTTCCTTTGAATTCTCCTGTAGAGATTATTTAAATGTGAGATGTCTCAGACATAAAAAAAGCAATTAGTGATTTGATCAGGCAGTTGAAAATACATTTTACTTACATATTACATATTTTGAAGAAGTTGTCAGAGAATTTAAATCATGTGGCTATCATAAAATATGGTAGTTACTAAACAATCGGAGCGAGACAACAAGATTTAAAATAGTTTTATTTTCTCTGTTTTTCATCTTCGTTGCTTATTAGATCGTATATCGCATACTGACCATATTAAGACTGTCTTATGCACAAGAACTGGGATATTGCAACTCATTAAAGTCAAAAAAGAAAGTGTTATACTTTTATTACGAATAAATGCACAATTATCATAATAAAAGAATTAACAAAGCAACTTATTATAGAAAGTGCGAAGTTTATGGGATTTTATACTTATTACACCGCTTAAGTTTATTTATTACGATAATAAATAAATCATTTGTAATAGCTATTGCCAGCCACTTCATCAGTAGATTTTTTATAGCTAGGTAGGCAAATGACAAGATAGCTGGTGCAGCAGTTATAAACTGCCACACCAATCCTCACCTTGTCGGCCTGTAGAAATGCTTCTTCACGCCTCTCATCACCCCAGATTGTAGGAAGGGGGAACGGAATCGCGCAGCGATTTTAGAGATTTCTTTGTCTAGTCGACATATAACACAATAGGTTGCCAAAAGTGATTTTTTTGTTGATTAGTACATCACAAAGCTCAGTAGAAGAAATTTTATTTTCTATAAATAAGAATATTCCATCCATTTTGTGGGATGAATGTTGTCGATGTTCAATGTAGGACCTCTGTTGTTCCATTATTTCAGTTTTTAAGAGAACTGGTTTACCCTGTTTACGAATGATATGTCAATTCGGTCACTTTTGGCGCTACTGGGTCAATGAGAGACTCTTTGCTGCGCGACCTCATTTCGGAACTTGTATCGAAAATGAAATCAGAGCTTTACACAGCTCAAACCACGCAATTGTTAAAAGGCTTAATTTGAATCTTGATTTTCAGAAACTTTCGAGAATTTGTAGATTTTGTCGTTAGTGAATTGAAATAATATCTTATAAAAATTTAGTTATGGAATGAAACCTCTCTTGGGTCGTTAAAAATGTTTTGTTACCCCTCGTTCGGTATTTTTTTTAGATCATAAGTAGGGCTGCCATCTCTAAAATATGGTAACCAGGATAAGACACGTGATAACCCCGGATTTTGGAGCCCAGAACCCGGACAGACAGATAAAAAAATAGTTAAAAATGTCACAAATCTCTTTTTTATCTTGATCTAGGCAAAAGAGTTAGCGGTCTACCTCATAATAAGTGTTCTCTGCTGCCCATGGACACTTGCAGCAACAAGGGCCACTCATGCGTTGCCGTAAATTTTTAAACCCGGACTACAAATAAAACCACGCCCGGACGCTCCCCGGACGCCCCGTAAACTAGGACAAATCCGGGGAAACCCGGA